GAGCAGGGCATAAACGACAGGCTCAGACAGCATTGGAAGAATGTTAGAAATTGCAGAGAGGCTCACCTGACAATACATTGCAGTGATGGCAAGCGTGTACCAGATTTTCGTGCATCCCTCCATTATTGCAGTCGAGGCAAGTGAAGCAGATTATTTTTGAGGGAAAAAGAAAAAGATTATTTAGCCGGTAATCGTTGCGTGTGATTTGCGCATGTTAATTTCAGGAACGTTGGTGATATCTCAATGCGAATGCGCAGCAATGAAACGGTACAACTCTGCATAAATAGTACCCGCTTTTTCTTGGAATAAGCATTGTTGCAAGTGACGCCCTGAACGTCTTCATTGCGCCTACTGTTTCCAATCATTTGAATAGCGCCAGAAATATCACTTCCTCCGCTCATCGCTTCCTTTGGGGTAGCACTAAAATTGATTCCAGGGGACGGAAACTTGCCCACTTCGCCTCACGCTAAGAACTTCACATTATGAATGACGGCAGTCCAACGTATATAAGTGGTTTTAGATGCAGCCGTTGTTTGGATTTGGCGCTGGTGTCATGGCAACACACTCAAAAAGTGCGATGGTTCACCGATATTAAGACTCACGGCAGTGACCATATTCCAACGTATTTGAAGGTCACAGGTTTCGCAAGTTCCTCTTCTTCAGTTTACTGAAAAGTTAACTGGTCAATGTACAAGACGAAGGTGGATGAGGCATGCGAAGGTGTCGCGTGCGGCCTGGAGGAGGTAATCGGAAATGTAAAGGAAGCGGTTAAGAGCACCATTACGCACACATGAAAGCGCACAGAGTGTGATGTGGAACTGGAGTGATTACGTACGATTCGGAGGCGGGCTGAGAGGAGGTACTTGCGCACTAGCTCAATTCATGACCTCAGAGATGCTCGACGTTTACAAAAGAAAATTCGACATTGAACAGACAAGCTGGATGGCCAAGGGTGGAGGAAATTTCGCGAATCACTCGATCCTCCCAAAGCAATGTCCCTTATATGGCGAATGGCACGTGGCCTTGGGTCGAATCCACCACAACGACATCCATTCAGCTCACTGGCTTTCCAACAAGGCCGCCTGCAAGTTGACATTGTCGAACATTTCTGCGTGAGGATTGCGGGTGATGTGACCACCGTGAGTGATGAGGTTCTTGGCGATGCTCCTATAGAGCGTGTCCCTGGACTAAATGTGCTTTTCTCACTCGAGGAACTGGACGCGGCCCTAGCTACTTGCAGACTTTCATTGTCACCTGGGCTGGATGGCATCACGTATGCTGCGTTATGCTATCTTGGAGGACGGGGCCGGGACCTGCTACTGGAATGCTACAACCAGTCATGGACTGACGGCGTCATCCCTGATACGTGGAAATCCAGCCGCTTGGTACCGATTCTCAAGCCTGGAAAATCGCCGCTTGACCTCGCATCATACCGAACCACTGCGCTGTCTAGCTGCGTGAGAAAAGTAATAGAAAGAATGGTCCTCACACACCTCGAATGATACCTAGAGTGCTACAATATACATCCAGGGGCTATGGCTGGTTTTTGACGAGGCCGTTCTTCTATAGACAATGTCATCGACCTTGTCACCTCTGTGCAACAACAGAAATCTCTCAAGCGCATATCCATGGCAATGTTCCTCGACGTGAAAGGGGCCTACGACAACGTAATGCACGACGTCATTCTCGATGCCTTCGGAAATATTGAAATTGGTTGAGAAATTTTTAAATGAATTCGGAGCTACTTATTGAAAAAAATTCTTTTTCATGTACACTGCCGAAGGCCTCACCATAGACCATTAAACCTCTCGTGGTGTCCCTCTAGGTGAGGTTCTCAGCCCTACTTTGTTTAACCTCACAATTATTGGACTTGCCCGAGTTCTGCCTCGATCAGTCAACCTTTCTGTGTACGCCGATGACATCTGCATCTGTTGCTTCAGCAGTGACGTGACCCAAGGTACGGGCAAGCCTCCAAAAAGCATCGACAACAACGTCGAAGTATCTCCGTGCTCGAGGGAAACTGTCGAGCAATGTGTCTTAGTTCCCTTCACTCGCAAGGCGATGTTCTGGTATCCTGTTTCCATCGAGAATATCAGAATTTCGTATACGAGACGTCGTCGATTCCTGAGCATCATTATTGACACAGATCTTTCGTGGAGTGCTCACATCGCCCAATTGAAGAAGAGGCTCAATTGCCCATCTAATGAAATTTCTCGCTGGTAAAACTTGGGAAACATCCGTGTCAGCCATGCTTGAACTGTACAGAGGGTATTTCTTGGGGTATTTTTGGTATAGCACACCTGTGCATTCAAATGCCGGAAAGACCAACATCCGGCTCCTGCAAAGCATTCAAGACCAAGTTCTTCGCACATGCTTGGCATTGTCTAAGTGCGCTAACATGGTCGCAACTATTCCCATTGCCAAAGATCATCCGATTACGACCTATATAGCTGACGACACACTCCGGGCGCACATTCGCCATGTATCCCGACTGCCTAACCACCACCTTGCTATTCTGCCACTGGAAAGACCGAAGGCAGAGTTCTCCAGAGTAGTGGCGGCTAACCAGCATTCCGTTTCCTGGAAATTCTCACCTGAAACCATACCACTTTGCCCGGAGTGGTGCCTGCAAAGACCCCCTGTACACCTTCATGTCCTGGGAATAGCCAAAACGGCTAGCCTGTCATCTGCAGTCCTCAAGCAGATCTCATTTGACCTTTTGCATATATCATATGAAAGCGGGACTCATATCTATACGGACGGTTCTGTGTTAGGAAGTTCGACGGACGCTTTTGTAATTACATCTCGGTCAATCACCGTCAAGTTTAAGACTTCACACGTCACAACGTTTACAGGCTCCGAGCTTGCCACCCTTCTAGCCACAAGTAGATTTGTTATGCGAGAATCCCCTGCTAAGTGGGCTATCTTCTGCGACTTCAAGGCGGCCCTTCAACGTATGCGAATTCTACGACGCAGGAACTACCATTAGATGGTATCTAAAATCAATGAAATCTGCCATGGCGCCACTAACAAAGGACATGACATAATCTTTCAATGGCTGCCTAGTCACTGTGCACTGTGAGATTGGTGGTAACCACCTCGCCGACAACGCTGCCCGTTGTGCCCACGACGAAGCACCCACACAGCTCATGTCAAGGGTTGATGCCGCAAAAGAACTTCGGCGCATCGCGCATTATAGCACAGTTATGCATTAGAATCTTCCAATAAACTCCACTCGACGCCCACAGAACCTCGCTTCATTACTTCAATTACAGCTGCCATCAAAGACTTCGCGACAGGACGCTACAATGCCGTATCGGTTGTGGGTTGGCGTTGCCTTCACCAATTCATTGAGTCATCGCATTGGTATATGATTGACTCCCCGTGATAACTGCCGCTGGGTAGAAACTCTCGACCATGTCCTGTGCCATTGCCCAGACTTTGAAGCAGATCGCCGGACTCTCCAGTGTGCCTTAAGGAGACTGGATGATCGACCATTTACTCTGGAGAAGATCTTCGGAGCGTGGCCTTCACGTACTTCAGCCCAGAATGCCACACGAGCCCTTCTACAATTCTTGAGGGCAACGTCACTGTGCGACCGCCTGTTAAACCTGAACTGTGTGTGCGGTGTGCGTGTTATGTGTAATGTGTATCTCCTCCTTCTCTCTCTTTCTCTCCCTCATTCTGCTCTCCCACGTGTAGGGTAGCAAACTGGACTTAGTATAGTTAACCTCCTTACCTTTTTGATATTTTTCTTCTTCTTCTCTCTCTCTCTTGTTTTTGTGGGCAACATTTTCGAAGGCCAATTCTAGTTCGAGACACGAATGGGCCGTTACTGACGTCACGTCTGCGTCATTACAGTGACGTCAAGGGAGGCGTTTCGATGTTTGCCTCATCGCACCACTTAAACAGATCTTGAACTCGCGTGCAGCCGGCGTTTCGGGATGCTGCACACTGAATGCGGCCGCCCCAAGCCTGGCGAAAAGTATCGGTATGCCGTGTGCATACACATACACACACCTACACCTCAAGCCCTCGGGATGAAACGGACTGGAACAGATGCCGCTGGTGGTGCGCACAACTCTGGGGAGAGCGTGAAAATACGAGGCGCCGGCGAGGCTTTGTTATTCTTGCTCGCGATTTGCGCAGTTTGTTTATTGACCAGTGTGCGAGCGATCACACCTTTCTCGCTTCGTTTGTTTGGTCGGCGCATATATTTACTTTCGCGCGACCTTTTCTCTTGCTTCCTCCTGCTGCGATTTCTTTCACTCTCTCGGTCAATCGCTTTGTTTGCCTATTTCTCGAGCCGGCCTTTAAGAGTTAGGGGAGTGGGACGCCTCAAAACAAACAGTGAGGCTCCTATTCAGTCACGACGGGTTCAAATTTGACAGGAAGCTGCGACCGGGCAATTGGCGGTGGTTCCGCTAAATTCGCTGCTCCAGTCAGCCTGTGCAGGCAGGGTCTTCCTGGCGAACTTGTACACTGGCGCTTGCACAGAGGAAATCAGACTGCTGTTTCTGTTACCGCGGTTGCTATATCTGGACTCCATTAGATTGCGCCGCGATGCTGTCGTTGTCAATGACAGTATGGGTCAATGCGATGTTTGCCGGCATGGCATCCTGCGATGCTAACCCTTAGGCATCATTTACTGCTGTTCGGGTGCGCGCGCGTCTATGCGTTGGTGTGCATGTCTGCGCGCGTGTGTGTTACAACATCTCAACTACCGCAGTGCACAGAGAGAGAGAGCACAAGGCAACGAGGCACGATGCGGACACTAGACACATCTTACAGAGTGTCGTTTCTCCTCTCCTATATAGCAGTTAAGATATCATACCAACATGGATTAGCTCACGTTCCTTCAAGTGTCCCAACAGCCACCGCTGGTGAACGACTGCATGGCTCGACCATCTGTGTAAAATGCAATATCGCGACATGTTTCGCATCTTTAGAGTTTCCATACCCGTCTTCCTTCACCGGCATGATGCTCATGACCTGCGCAGGCAAACCTGGATGAAGCCACCGACGCCTGGGGAGTGAAAGTCGAGCGAGTCGAAATGTGAGTACTCGCACAAACGACGGGAAGGCCGTCGATTCAGAAGTGATGAGAAACCGCCGAACGGGGAATGTCGCTGACGCCAATGTTTCAAGAAGGGCACTTGTCCAAAACGTTAATTGGCTCCAGTTCCCTGTTCATCGATCTCTCATCACTTCAAAGCTCCGTATTACCCAGAACTTTCGTCTTGTATCGACTCAGCAGGAAGTTTGGCGTGGCACCATAAAATTGAAACCGAAATTCCTTTTGAGCCTAATAAAGTGGCCTAAAAAAGATGTATTTGGTTCAACGATTAATTGATTGATATGTGGGGTTTAACGCCCCGAAACCAGCATATGATTATGAGAGACGCCGTAGTGAAGGGCTCCGGAAATTTTGACCACCTGGGGTTCTTTAACGTGCACTCAAATCTGAGCACACGGGCCTATTTCCGCCTCCATCGGAAATGCAGCCGCCGCAGCCGGTATTCGATCCCGCGACCTGTGGGTCAGCAGCCGAGTACCTTAGCCACTATAGACCACCACGGCAAGGCTTCTGTTCAACCATGCGTAAGCGCGCGTAAGCAGATAAACTGAGCCTTATTCAAAAAGTTTTTACGAAGAGTCATAACTCTGTCATATATAGCTAGATGCGTGGTTTGCTGCTATCAAACGTCGAAGGCCAGCCCACTGGTTTTCCAACAGATACATGGTCTACAAACTCGTTGGTTTTTTCGCGTTCTGCGGCACAGGCCAGTTTGTGACAAAGACTAAAGTTGCCCATTGCGACGTAATCGGCGTGAAAATCGATAACCAATGCGTGGACCCATTCTGTTCTATGTCGCACAACTAGCGACACGATGACACCTCGGCGTAAAATACTTCCTTCTGATCTACTTTTTGACGCCAGTTAGAGAGACGTAACTGTGTTGCCTTATTTGTTTCTATTTAATTCACCCTACTACTTGTGGTGTGCAGTCACAAACGCCGTTGATGAAGCGGGTGCGTGCTAAATCGCGTTGTCGGTAATATAGCATTACAACAATGATATAGAAGAATGCGCCGCTGCAGGTGGGATAACAAAAAAGCCTCACTGTGTATATATCTTACAACAGATAATCTTCACTGCAGCATGATGCTCGTGCTGCTTGAACTTGCTCTTTTTTTTTTGACAATAACGAAATAAAATATGCGCCCGATCAGAACAAGTGCAATTTGATTATAGCGTAAAGCAAAATTCAGCCTTAATGTGCGTGCGAAATCTGCGCTACGAGTTCATCATAGTAACATTATGCCAAACTGAATGGAATAAACACGTTCGTGCTTTTGCGTGTGCAACCTCCAGTGTTGCCATGTCACCAGTGATTAACATGTTAACGGAAACATCAACGTAAACGTTCATCATGTTGCAAATTTTGCGTGTCGCCCCACCGCGGCGGTCTAGTTGCTAAGGTACTCGGCTGCTGACTCACAGCTCGCGGGATGGAATCCCGGCTGCGGCGGTTGCATTTCCGATGGAGGTAGAAATGCTGTAGGCCCGTGTGCTCAGATTTCGGTGCACGTTAAAAAAGCCCAGGTGGTCAAAATTTCCGGAGCCCTCCACTACGGAAAAAAGGAAAATAGGAGGAAAAGAACAGCAGGGAGGTTAACTAGCCCATAGGCAGCCGGTTGGCTACCCTGCGCATGGACGGGGGAGATGAAAGAGAGGAGAGGGAAGAGATAAACACAGCACACTCAGAAGCACACGCGGTGTCTCTCAATAATGTGGTGGTTTTGGGACGTGGAACCCTACCTATCAATCAGTTTTGTATGTCGTTCCTACTACCTTTCCTGGTTTTTATGCGCTGTAGTATAGCAAAGGGGAACATGAGCAACTGGCCCAAATCGCAGCTTTCCTACAGTTTATGATCGTGGGACGCGCGCAAGGCATATTGCATCGCCAAGCTTTATACCCTCTCCGTTCATAAGAGCCCCTGATAGTGTAGTCGGTCACGCGCAAATTGTGATATGGGCAATCAGGATTCGACACGGGTTAACGTGCTTAGTTATTTTAGTGCGTTTACTAACACAAGCGTTTTTCATTACCCAGTTAACGCTTTTTGTCGCACAATACTTCCATAAACAGAACATCATCCTCAAAACAAATACTAATCACCGAAGTGGGCTTCCCCTTAAACGTCCTCTTTATGTGACGAAGCTAGCCTTAATGAGGTTTCACAGCTGCGTTTCTATTTCGAGAGAACTATGTATTGCCCTCACGTGCGCAAGTTATGACTGACGCAATGAGTTTTCGGGACAGAGAACTCAAGATCAGATGTCGAAATGAAGAGATGCGACAACATTATACTCGACGTCATGTGTCTGCCTTTCGCGTCCGTACTGGTATAGGAACCTCGAATTCACCGTTAGATTAATTTAGTGCCAGTGATCACGGCGTTACCATGCGGCTTTTTTGTATGCCTTGTCAGGTAGTAATCCCGATAGCTTTGGAAGGTCTGCGACGGATATTATATCTGCACACCCGTGGTCAATCTTTGAAACCAAACTGGCTGCATACTGGCTATCAACACGCAAACTAAATACCACCAGTATAATAGGCCATTTTCGTGATCCACAAAGCGCTTAACTGCACCGCATGTTTGCCCAACTAATGGCGGCACATGTCGTGCTTCAAGTGGCGACAAGGTACATGTGTCATGTTCGGGGCTTGCGTATTTTGCACGTTTATGTCAAGAGAGCCGAGCCTACATTTCTCAAGTCAAAGCGCAAGCAAACTACACTTGAATACGCTGTTTGCAGAAAGTGGCTAGCCGCCATTAGAAAGGGAAACTGCATGACAAGAAAGCTAGCTGTAAAATTATAAAAAAAGAGGTCTGTCGCGCACTTGTAACAGCCAATAAAATAATTACATAGACGATGCATCAATAATTATGAATGAAAGGGCGCAATGAAAACCTTGCTTATTTTTTTTTCATTACACCACAGAAAAGACGTGCGGCTGCCTGTACAGATGCAGAGGGCCATGGCAGCGGAAGCTGAAGCATCCAGAGAGGCCCGCGCTAAGGTAAGCACAGCGGTTCGGACTTTTAAGGAGCCGTGTCAAACAATTCGAGTTGAAGACACGCATGTGCGTACACTTACCCGCACAAACGCGACGCGTTCCCCGGCGCTCACTGCTCGAGTTGCTGCAAAATTGGCCATGAAACTAAACGAAACAGCATTTTCGTGCGCCTTTGCAGACTCGGAAACCAAATAGAGCCGAGACGAAAAGGGTGTAACTGTGGCGTAACGGCCGCGGCGCGCCCCTTGTTTCCAGTACATGACGCAATTCCGGTACATGTTGAACATCTTGAAGCGCGAAAGACAAAGAAAAGAGGAGACAAGCACGCACGCACTTTAAAAAAATATCGAGTAAAAGGGTGTCTTTATGTCCCACAACAATAATCGTCATCAGGCTTGCGTATGCTTCCTTTCTTGAAAACTCGGCGCTGGCCACTTTCCTATCGAGAATGCAATGTAACCCTGATAATGGGCATGTCGATCGTGACCGGAATGCACTGGGTGTGGGGCGATGGCGCAAGGATGGAACGCAATATAGATGACGATTATTGTTGTGGGACAAAAAGACGCCCTTTTTACTCGCTCTTTTTTAGAGTGCGGGCTCTCCTGCGTGTGAGTTTTTTTTTGTTACTTTGTCCTTTTTTGTCTTTTCACGCTCGCTCAACGTGATTCAAAGCCAAACGATCGCACACGAACAAGGCGTTACCGTTATTGAAACCAAGTGCAACATTTTCGCAGACTTCGTTCAGCATCCTCGCCGTCTCCGCACCGAGCCACGGCTCAGTGCATTTGGCCCGACGATAGCGAACGGTCAACTGCTCTCGATTTATACAGATGGCAGTATGAAAATTTCGCACCGTGTCGTCCGTGCATCAACAAGTTTGAAAATTTCCAGTACGTTTCTGACATCACTTACGTTATTTCTACGATTTTTGCGCACCCATGCAATTGTAAAGCAACGCACTGACAATTAATTCGAAAGCCCCGAAGCACAGTTACCTTAACTTTGGTTGAGTCCCCGCAAAACGCACTTCGCTGCGCCGATCCACAAAAAACTCGAACTTGTGCCCACGCCAAAGCTTATGCTTTTAGTTAGCAAGAAACATAAGTATATATATACTGAAAATGTAAGTACTTAGTTCGAATGTATTTCTGTGGTTGGCAGTTTAGGTCTCTTGCTAGGCAAGTTATGCAATATGTCAGAAATCCAGAAAGCGACAATTACAAAAGTAAAAAAAAGTGATGACGAAATAACAAGCATTTGGCAGCGTGATGTTGAATTCGCCCTTGCTCTACCAACTGCAGCCTCCTGGTTAGATTAATGGGTGTAGCGATCACCTCAAATAGACGTATACGTATACAGGGCGCCAGCTATCTTTAGCCAGAGTTTAAAAATATGCCGACACGCTCAATTGATTGATTTGTGGGGTTTAACGTCCCAAAACCACGATATGATTATGAGAGACGCCGTAGTGGAGGGCTCCGGAAATTTTGACCACCTGGGGTTCTTTAACGTGCACCCAAATCTGAGCACACGGGCCTACAACATTTCCGCCTCCATCGGAAATGCAGCCGCCGCAGCCGGGATTTGAACCCGCGCCCTGCGGGTCAGCAGCCGAGTACCTTAGCCACTAGACCACCGCGGCGGGGCAAACACGCTCAATTACGACGCGGCCAAAAGCATGTTGCTGACCGTGGCGTGGAGTGAATCGGACTATTTTTTGTGTTTTGATCCAGTGTTTAATTAGACCCCTTTATTAACTCACTTCTAAAGGAACGAAGATGCGTCAGAAATTTCAGTGAAGAAGTTGTAGATTGGTTGGCAAAACGTCTGATTTGTCAGTTTTGAACTTTATATACGTTAATTATATGTGTTTTTCTGCTAAGTACAAATGTTCGCGAAGTAAAAAAGAATACCACGTGACAAACCAACTGGTGCGCCTATTCTCGCCGTGATTCTGGTGCTCCCTCTCCCTAACATTCCGCGTGCGAACGATACGCTCCCCTCGCATCAGTGCATGACAGCAATAAGCAGTCACAGTGGTTATCACTTTTGTGGCCGATAGCAAAACGCGTTCATCGCAAAGCCACTGCCATCGTCGCGGCCCTGTCGAGACAGCACGATCGGGAATAGCTATGGTCGTTCGTACGCAGAATGTCATGGAGCACTATAGAATCATCCTGCGCACTGGCGCGTCAGCGGACTTGTCATGTGGTATTTTTTTTTTGCATTTCGCGAGCATTTGAAGTTAGTAGGAAAAGACTGAAAATTAACAGATATAAAGCGCAAAAGTGTCTAATCAGACGCTTTGCAAACCGATGAAGAACTTTCTCATTGGAATGTTCAGCTCATTTCCGTTGCTTAAAAAGTTCGTCAATAAATGTGACCTAATTAGGTAATTAATCAGAACGCAACTAAAAGTCTGACTCGCTCCGGGCAACAGTCAGCAACATGCATTGTCGTCATTGCGTTTGTCGGCATATTTTTATAACTGGCTAAAGGTAGCTGGTGCACCCTAATTCAAGCCCTGTTTGTTTGTTTTTTTTTTGTTTTTTTTTGCGACGTAGCTTTCATTACAACTATACGTTGTCGTGTCCGCGTGACATATATAAAATATGAGCTCAGGAAGCAACCTCAAGTAGGCTCCGCAATATATGGCAACTCCCCAGCAGACTCTTTGCACTAATATAATCCTCGATAAAGCCGCTGGTGAATGTAACGTGATAGCAGGCGTTCATTAAAGAAACCGTCAAATATAGGTCGTAACAACCTCCCTGATCTCCTGTACTGCCCCCTTTCTCCGTGTGTGTCTCGGTTGAGGGGCCATCATCCGACACAGTTGCTGCGCACACAAAACTAAGTTCCTGTCATTTTCTAGATTCACTCTGGAATGTTGCTTACTTTCCTTTGCAGGTGATCGCGGCGGAGGGCGAACAGCGCGCGGCGCGCTCCCTCAAGGAGGCGGCCGACGTCATCTCGGAGTCCGGACCAGCGCTGCAGCTGCGTTACCTGCAGACGCTCACTTCCATCGCGGCCGAGAAGAACTCCACCATCGTCTTCCCGCTGCCGATGGAGCTTCTCAAGGGGCTACTCGGTAAGCCAAGCGCTCATACCATGCACTGCATGCATTCGGCGTGTGGCGGCGTGAAAATTTCGGAACTCACATTCACGTAACTCCGACTGCCGACTGTGGTTAAGTTCTTATCCTTTAAATGTTATATCGCTGCTACGTAACTGCCATTACATTTCTGTGATTAATTTAACGGTAGTGACATAGTTTTCGGAAGCCTCAGTTGCGCGAGTTCGGTCGACGTGATTACGCAATGGACATGTTGCAAGGTATAGCTTAACCGTAAGGCGAGAAACTAGCAAATTGAGGAGTTGAATAACATATTCTTCGGAAAATGCCTGTCTTGAAGCATCAATGTGATTAATCGAGAGTATCTAGCGTTGCAATATAAAATAAAAGGACGCCTTTTGGTGGGAAATCTTTTCTCCAAACAATAATTGTTCGTTGTCTGTGTTGCTTGCATTTGTATTATATACGTCAGACTGATGACGTGCATGCAATTCGTATTGTGCACGGAAGTAAAATGCGTGCATGGTCAAAGAAAGGAAGGGTACGCATGGCGCATGGTTGTTATTGTTTGGTGACAAGATTACCTCCGCAGGGTGTCAAGTTTTTTTTTTTCATGACGCAAAGGATAATGCAGATTGCAGCGTTAACCTTCATGTCTAGATGTATTCCTTTTATTGCTATGGATTCTTTTGTTACCGCGAAACCACAGAGGTCATGCGTGAACTGTTGCTGCCATTACGGAGCAGGAAGCGATATCCGCATAAAGTAGCTGCTTCTACACCAGTTGTTTGCCCTTCGACCTTCATTGTGCAAAGAGCCCTGCAACAAAACGCTGCCGATTGGTAGTCGGGGATTCAGAGATCGCGTGAGCCAAGCAATTATAACTCAGCACGTGGCCTAGAAATTCAATCAATTCTCAGTCAACTAGAAACCATTCGCTATTCTCTCGAAAGATGATGCCATAAATTCGAACGACTACGCCATAAACCCAAAGTCCGCGGCCGTAGGCTGATTTGAGCATCGTGAGCTGCATAGTCACCGTGGCCTCCGCAGGATGGCACTACATGCCCGCACGCTCGCTCACGATCACACTGAAAGAAAGCCGCTCGTTTGAAGAAAAAAGAAAGTGCTCAAACTAATGACATGTGCGTGACGTAGTTCTTTTCCGCGTGCCATACCTCACTCCGTAGCTTCCAGAGTGTTTATTAGAACGAGAGAACAGAGAAAGCGCTTACAGCGCGCGACAAATCTCTCTCTAGCTCCGCTCGTAATGACGGATTTAAAGGACTTTTCCGGCAATTGGTTCGCGCGCCAATAAACTCTATGTAAGCCATTCAATGATTATTTGGATAAGTGTTGCAGGACCCCTTTAGAACATAGTAGTTATTAGGTTAAAAGGCGGTGCTATTGTAGACATGCCGTCCGTGGTGGCGCTCACGTGGTAACGGCTTTTTCGTGGCTGTTAATCACTTATTGTCAGTACCTGGTTGTTAAGTTTCAAGACAGAAAGTTTAGTGGGCCCATGATAATCTGAAAATTGAAGCGAGCTGTTTGAAAAAGCCATATCAGCTTTCGAGTAAAAAAAAAAAACATTGCGCGTCGAGATACAGAACGGGAAGTTCGAGTTGTCATAGCGCAGGAAACCGAAACCACAAGGCAGAAGTTCGCGCGTGGCCGCACCCCTCAAGGTCACGTTTGTGCTTGCGGTCGCTGCCGCAGGCAATCAGCGCACTTCATCTCCGTCAGCCTCGTGCGGTCCGATCGCCGACAGTTTCAAGTGCCGAACATCCGGCTAGCCGACACTTTTTAACGCGATAGCGTTAAAGAGCTCGTGTCGCAGAAAACCTGCCGCTAGCGTCGGCTTCTTTGGTTGTGAGCGAAAAATCGTCTGTGTGTCTGTGACCGAAAAATCAAGTTACCGAGAAAGCCGCGGGACGCCGCTACTCGTCCACGCGTGCGCGCGCGATCACACTGAAGAAGCCGCGCATTCGAAGAAAAAAAAGTGATCAAGGTCACGAGGCGTGGTAGTTTCTCCGCGCTGCCGCCCTTCTCTGCTTAGCTTCCAGCGCTTTCGTCGGGACGAGAGAAGAGATAATGCAATTGCAGCATGCGACAAACCTTTGTAACTGCACTCGCACTGGACGCATTCTTATCATTTTTTCGGCGTTGAATTCGTGAGGCAATAAGCTCTTCTAGTAAATTCATTCCATGGTTACTCTAAACAGTGTTTCAGGGCCCCTTTAACGCATTTTGTTCGACAGGTGTTACGACGAAAACGGGCCCATTCGACGACAATAGCGCGCGCCGGTCCAATCTACTGTGTGCGTGCGTGTGTACGTAACAAAACGTATGAATAAATATGTACTTAGTGGTTGAAGGGTGCACTAGAGGCCGGATTTCACTATCGCATTCAACTCTTAAGGGTTAAGGGTCCCCCAATTTGTTTTTATCTCGCTCGCTGAAGCAATCGATAGCTTGTGTACAAGATAAACAGTATAGTGAGCGTGTTTGCATGACCAGCTTGCGATTACGTCCAAACAAATCGACTTGGTTAAAAAAAGTTTTCTCAGATTGACAACAATCACGAATATCCTGTTGTTATGGTCAACACTCATGTCTAGAGTGACGAAGCGTCGTTATCGGAACTGAAACAGCGACATCTGCTGTCGTCTATGCGGCACGTCTGAACATGCGCAGTGCCAATGATGGGCCTCCCTTGCATTTTCAAAGACGACAGCCTTTCTTGGGGTACTTCGGCGCAAAAATTTTGGTCTGTCTGTCTCTACACTTGTCTGTCCGCCATAACAATACCCCAAACGGTAGCTCAAACGGCCAACCCCATCCGCAGCGCCGACCAATATTGCTCAAGTTTCAGCGTTCATACTTGTGCGATTGTCAGTTAAAAAGCAATTATTGCGCATATATGACGCATTATAACAACATGGCAATATTTCTGTATGTGTGTCTTTATACTAGACAAGGCCCACACACGTGATTCTAAGGACCGTAACGTTTATCACGCTGCGCCGAAAATGCAACCCGATGCTCGAAAAGCCAAGTGTTTCCAACGCTTTGAAAAGACAACACGGATGGAGGCGGAAATGTTGTATGTCCGTGTGGTCAGATTTGGGTGCACGTTAAAGAACCCCAGGTGGTCGAAATTTCCGGAGCCCTGCACTACGGCGTCTCTCATAATCATATGGTGGTTTTGGGGCATTAAACCCCACATATCAATCAAAAGACAACACGGGGGTGGCACCCGCCCATCGCTTTGCGGTCTACACCTTATCGCCTCCGAGAAAGGCGCGCAAGCCCCTTCCTTTGTTTTCGAAGACAACTGCCAGATAGCGCTCGTGTCTAACGTGTCTCGATGCACTCGTTTGCCTTCGCTGCACGAATCGAGACACTAACTCAGCACCTCCAGAATACAATTAACCAATTTTCCTGCTCAGAACATCAAATAAACGTTTTGTTCACTCTCTCGAGACGCAAGACTGTCGTCTTTCGACGACATTTGCTGTGGAACATGCAGATACGGGGCGAATTTTTTTTATTCCCTTTTATTGCCGTGGATGCAACAACCGTTTTTGCAGTTGGTTTACAATTTAATTTAATAAGTTTACAAACAATTTAACGAAAAAAAAAACAAGCAACAAAATAATCCGCAGAGAACCATTCTTGGCATCATATGATACCAGAACTGAGAATAAATATACAGTATAATAGGAATTGATCCGTGCGATTCCACTTTTTTTTTGGTACTACATATAGTTGACAACGTTTCGATAACCGAAGCCGTCATCGTAGCCGCGGCGGTAAACAAGAACGGAAACTACAAGGGTAGGCACATCTCTGGCACCGCGCATGCTCAGATGTGGCCCGCTTCAAGCTGCGGATGTCGCTCGTGCTGTTCTGAGCGCAACGCTGCATCGTTATAGACATGAGAGTTGACCACTGTACGACATAATGCATAAATTGCTCTAGACGCGATTTTGTTAAAACGGCGTTTTATCGTATATACTTATACCGACTCTGAACGCTCGCTGTTGATACTTGAAAATGTAAGCGGAATTTAGATGCGAACTTCAGTCATCTATATGGTCAAGGACAAGTTTCCAAACACTTATGCTCGTTATGACCACAGTTGTGATCAGGAGTGCACCCAGAAGTGAACAGTGGATGCATTTAATGAGTGGAAAAGTGTGACGTGTGAGGGACGACAGTGAAATTTTAGTCTTACATAAGGTGTTCGTTGTGCTTAGCCGTGAGCACACACTTGGGCCAACAATAATGAGCCATTCAGAATCGGATGTGAGCGCCACGATTTACTCAGCTTTCAAGAGTTGACCTTTGTTCGCTTCCTTATTTGTATCAAAATGATGCAGTTTGTCTCCCCTAATAATTAAGAAGCGTTGGCCATTTATGCTATCACTGCGTGCGTTTTTGCGTCCTGGCGGCTGTTTAAAGACTAAAAATCTGGCAGATCCCACGTACCTTGGGAATCGACGTTATGCAAAGCACGCGTAGTGAAGGTGACCGTGTTGTAATTTTTTTAATAAGTGACACGTTTATGAAATGACGTTAAATATGTGTACGAATGTTGCACGCTCGAACATGTGTTCAAGAGTTGCAGATGTTTATACAGGGTGTTGCATATAAAACGCACCAAAAACAAAAAAATTAAAAATGTGTGCTACGCGTATCCAGCTAGCGCAGTGTTGTTCTTAGCTGTATGTAGCACGTCAGAATATTCTTTTGTCCGCCAATCAGGGTAATTAACAAAAAGTGTTTAATGAACTGTTTAAATACTGATTCTAGAGGAAAAAAATCAATACAAGACTTGTAGCTCTTATCCAGAAATAACAAAATTGTCAATTTATGCTATTTTTTTTCATGGTTTGTTTAGAGCGCGGGAAATTTTAAAAAACTACCTCGTGATTGCCGCCTAACGCGCGGCACTTTGAGTGTCCTCAAATGTAAGTTGAACGAATTAGCGAAGGCTTCTCTCGAACGAAGGTCGCTTAAACAGGTTATCGGTGACTACGATGGACATTAAGCGATAGTTGGAAGGTACCATTAAAAAATGGAGGGGGGGGGGGGGGGGGGGGGGGTGACATGGGCGAACGAAAGAAACGAAGACAATAAACTACGAAGAAAAAGCGACCGCCACGTGCAATGCGATACAAGACCGGAGGCAGCATTTGACTCAGCGCAGGCGTTTTTTTTTTCTTCTTTTTGGGCTAACGATAAACGTGATGGTGAGAGAGAGGAGGACATTGTGACAGAGGAAATATATAAAAACTTCGGTAATTATTCCAGAAGTTTTTTTTTTTGTCATATCTGCATCGATTACTTGCGATTTCTCTACTGAATACTTGCGAGAAATACGGCATAATTGGCTGTGGGATCAAAAGTTTATTGCTCGTAGTTCGTCTTTATTTAGAAATTTATTTTTAGTACCCGTCTGTTAGAGCGTAGTGTGCATAAATAAACATAAGGAATAAAAAGTGTTCTGTGCTTTTATAGCTAACTCTTCAATAGTAGGAAAGCTCGGTGTTGGAATAGGACCAGCGTAATTGCAAAGTCCGAAGTGATTTTATTAAGACGTCATGGACAGTTACATAGCGTGCTCCAACAGCCCTCCATCAGCCCCTGTACACAATTTACATCGAGTCAGCACATTTTCTGTCGCGTTTTGTAGCATGCACACATCTGCTATTTTGGACTTCAATCTTTCGAGCGTTGTCGTCGCTTCGGTGTATACATGGTCTTTAATGTGTCCTCATAAAAAGACATCTAGCGGAGTCAAATCTGGGGATCTTGCGGGCCACTCTACAGGTCCAAGACGGCCGATCCGTTTCTCTGGAAATTCTCGATCAAACCACGTTTGAGTCCGCGCACAGCTGTGCGGAGAAGCTCCGTCTTGCTGGAACCAGATATTCTTTAGCTGTGCTATAGGGAGGTTGCTGGTGAAGTCACTCAGTGGGCCATTTAGTATTTCGCTGATGTAGCATTCTGCGGCGATTGTTCCATCAAAAAAGTCCGGGCAAATGATTTTGCCATCGTAAATGCCGCACAAAACACTCAAAGACCACTTCACCTGGTGTTTTGACTAACAGCCAGTGAGGATTTTTAGCGCTCCAGTAATGACCATTGTAAACATTCACTAGGGCATTGCGCGAGAAGCGAGCTTCATCGAACCAGATTATGTTCTTCACGAAGCCGGAATTATCTTGTTCTTGTATGAGTATCCGGTTGCAGAAGTCAAGACGTCTTTGCAAATCCCTGTCTTCCAGCTGTTGATGCAGGTGAACATGGTATGGGTGAAGTCCTCCGCTTTTGAGAACACGCCAAACACTACAGCTGGAAACGCCGGTCTCAGCACTCACGTCGAGCATGCTTGCCTGGGGATGGGCTGCCATGCAAGCAAGAATGTAGGTTTTAAGAGACTCAGACACACCTCTTGTGCGCTGACGCTGCTTTTTGAACGTGCCTGTCTCCTTGAGCGTTTCTTAATTTCGCAACAATGTCAAACTATTTACCCGAATTTGTGGGTGCCATCTGCGAAATCATCTTGCCGCCTCTCTCCTGTTTCTGTTCGCTCAGCCGAGGGCGAGAACCATAATCGCACGTTCTTCATTAGTGAAACGCATCGTTCCAAACCAAGACTTTTCCTTGTCGAAGCTTGTCCAAAAGAACTGCGCACCACGTATTTCCGTCGTGCTTTTGACATCCTTTATCAAAATATTATCCTCTCCACCACCATCATGTTTATCGTTGGCCCGAAAAGAAAAAAAAAAACGTCTGCGCTGCGCCAAATGCTGCCAACGGTCTCGTATCGCAATGCACGTGGCAGCTGCGTTTTCGTCGAAGTTTATTGTTTTTTGTTTCTTTCGTCGTCACCCCCTCCCCCCTTTTTTTTATAATTGTACCATCTAACCATCACTTAATGTTCATTGTTGTCACCGGTAGCCTGTTCAAGCGACCTTTGTGTGTGAGAAGCCTTCGCTAATTCGTTCAACTTACATTTGAGGGCACTCAAAGCGCCGCGCGTTAGGCGGCAATCACGTGGTATTTATTGAAATTTGCGCACTTTAAACAAACCTTGGAAAAATTAACCAGCATTATTATCTTACCGTAACTCGAAAATTTCGTTAATTCTCGATAAGAGCTACAAGTTTTGTATTGAATTTTTTTTCTAGAGTCAGTATTTAAAAACGTTCATTAAGCAATCTGTGTTAATTACGGTGCTTGGTGAATCAAACAAAATATTCTGACGTGCTACATACAGCTAAGAACAATATTGCGCTAGCTGGAGACGCGTAACACTCTTTTTCAATTTTTTATTGCTCGGTGCTTTTTATCTGAAACGCTGTTATATAGCCAGCTGTTTGCACTTGCGCAATGTTGCCAACGGGAACCTGAGTATTAGGAACACCAGGAGTGATGAACTCTTATGAAGGGCTGGTCCTGGTAAGTATGGTGGCCCTGGACACTGCTACATAAATCTACTTCAGCACATGGCACCTAACTGCGATTGACGTTAACCCAATTGACGTGACGGCTGTATCAAAGGAGTACATATGTAATGTTTATAAAATTGGATAGCCATCATTTCAACCACAACTGAACATTAGGGTATATTTGAAAACTAGTTCCGAGACCTGGCGTGGCTCTGTGGTAGAATGCTTGACTGCCACGCAGAATGCTGGGGTTCGATCTCTGCTGCGACCATCACATTATTCTTTGCATTCACCAGGTCAACGCTGCCGGTGCCAGGTTTTTCTTAACGCTCGTGCGTTAAAATTACCCATGTGTGTTCTCGCCGTTCCTGGGTAGTTACTAAGTGTCAATCACATGGGGCCGATACCCGCATAATAGTGACACATACTTGCGGGCATGTGCCACTATCTGGCGGGAAATGTTTGACAATGCAGGCGACGGGATTGTGACCTTATTCATGTCTTGACCAGTGCATCATGTTCGTCAAACTGTCTTACCCTTCCATACTAATTTTGGTTCGCGCCAAGTTAAGGGGGTGATCACGAGAGCATCCAGACTTAAGCGGCTAGATAGATATGTAGGTAGATAGACAGCTATATAGATAGATACGCAAACAGATGTCAAAAGTACTTGCAGTACGCAAAGAAATGCTTCGCATTTACTAATTTGGTTCAGTGCGTGCGCTGTCCTACGCAGTGATGAGAAATGTTATCTTATAATTGTATTTTAAGCCACAAAATTGAGCTAATTACCTCGCTCAAAATTCTATTAATGTGGCGAATTCCACGCATCAGAAAGCTGCTCGCATAAACGAACTAACTCGTCGCTTCGCGCTGCGATGATTGCCTGGTTGTTCAGTAGAAGTTAGGGGCGCAAAAAAAAGTGCTTTTTTTTTTCAACTTGCCCACAATCGTGCCACTTTTGTGGTTTCATGCGCAAAGGTTTTATTAGCAGAATTTCATGACATGTTACATGAAATAATTAAACAAAAATAATGCAGAGTATTGTTTTGAATGTTCGTGTTTTGTATGTATCTGTGCAGGTGAACAAGTAATTACGGGAAACTCGTTTCTGTGTAGCACTTTCACGGCATTCGTTAAATGTTCGTTCTCTAATCGGGCTCCTTCCAACAAACTGCGAAGGCTTCGCTTTTCTGCAGGAATGTCTTCGTCCCGAGGAAGCTAGGTTTTTCACACATGCACTTCGAGTGAGGTCTGAAGGTTCCTGCAACCTCGATACAGTAAAACTTCATTTCAGATAATCCAAATTACCAGAAAGCGAAAGAGACAGGTGCGATGAAATGCTCAGCAGTGGTGCACATAAAAATACAGACTACAAAATGCATTCTAATTGATAGCACATAACTAGAGCGGAACTCTATAGAAGCGGTCAGTTGCCCCATTCAAGAGAGGGGCTACACGAGAGCAACAAGTTTAATAGAAAAGCGCAGAAATCACGATTCAGTGAGATATATGAATAGCAGTCATACATGACACTAAAGAACTGACGTTTTTTATAGGCTGCCGTAAACCGATTAACGGCTTCATTGAAAACGCTTTTTGCATGACTTCTGGTCACGATCGTCTAAGCCTTATAATGCGCGCGTGGCGGATAAACACGGTGTTTGGTATATATTCTAACGCCTAGCTTAATATGCCCTTATGACAAGACAGAGCACGAAAACGTGCATCAGCTATAAAGAAAGCACCAGCTGTTTTCGGTAAGCTTGTTCCATAGAGAGGAAGCCACAGAGCTGCCAGTGTTGAAAAAAAAACAACACAATGCTGGCGTGCATAAAGAACAAGTTAAGGTGCAATATATCTTGAAGTGGTGGTGCCACACGTCACGAGCGGAAAAGGTGCCTTTTTATGTCAGGAGTCGCTCGTGGTAGCGATTAATTGCGTCGTTAGTGTTACTGCAGGAATCGCGGCTTTCGGTCGAATGTACTAGAGCTATATATATATATATATATATATATATATATATATATATTGTAACGGAGATTTTGCCTTCGTGTGTAAGGCCGATGATGGGGCTTTGTTGTGTCGAGAGCATGCGACACAGAAACCACTTAACCGAGCAGTAGATAGATAGAGAGCCCTAAAGTTTCTCTTTCATTGCGCTCTTCTGTCTCACCCTGTCTGCACAGAGCGCCCATCCTGAGCACCTGAGAGCACGGCTTTGATGCACCGCCACCCGCCTGTGCCTACCCGCCTGCCTGCACGTGCCTTGGCCGCCGCCTCTCGCGCGGCCGGCTTGGATTGGCAGCGTAGCTGCTGTTCTTATGTGTACGAGAGAGTTAACACCCACTTGGGGGGGTGTTAAGTCGTCCATAGCTTACGCTCTTTACTGGCCTCTGAGAGGCCGCCATTGGCACGAGGCAATCATTTCGTATGAGCGACACGAATAGAGACAGTACCTGAGAATTACGAGGAGCATGACGCCACGCGCAAGCTGGCTTTAACCGGAGTCCTGATGAATGCACGAGAATTGGAGTCCGGATGAGCGCATAAGCTCCATTCCATACGTTAAATTACGCGTTTAGATAGCGCCTATTTACCTTCAGGTTTTGCTTCTGCGCGCAGAAGCATTTCTAAAAGTTCGTCAAGGGTAACCATTGATTACCGTTGACTTGTGTATTGCGTGGGCGCCTGAAGAAACGCTTGGCTCAGACAAGTTCGGTTCTCTTCTTATGACACAAATGTTGCAAAGGTTTCGTATTGCGTAAGCGCACTATAGCAGCCGCAGCGCAAAGTACAAATCACATGTATGGGCTTCAGCAGTGTCATCGGTCGTCTCTGAAGGGCTCGAAGCTGCTCGGAGTTTATAAAAGCTTCACGTTGGGCTTGTTGGTACATCATTTTAAGGGGCTCCTCACCAGGCTTGAGCATTGCGAATCAACAGCACTACACATATGTCACCCAGTGGTGGTCGTGTCCGCGAAGTTTAAACGGCTGAGTGGCGCGAGAACGGCCGAAAATCTGAGAAAAAAAATCAAAACAAAGCCACGTGATCTGTGAGTGAGTGAAATAACTTTTATTTGGTCCGGCAAAATGCGACAGAAACCGCACCTGGCTAATACCACGACGGAACCGACAGGTCTAGCCTGCCGGCTCGATCACGGGCACGCTGGACGGCCAAGATTCGGTCTTCGAAGATGGGAATTCGCCGTAGCGTGTCCCACTATTCTTTGTTGAACGTCGGGCCCAGCGACCCGCACTCCCAGAGCACGTGCGGCAAAGTAGCGACCTCGCCACAAGCCGCGCAAGAACTAGTTGTGTATATTTCCGGATAGATACCATTAAGGAACGCAGAATTAGGCTAATACTTTCTTTGCGGAATTCTGAGCGTGACCGCCTGCAGGCTGTTTAACTTGGTATGAGGTGGTGGGAAGAGCCTTCTCTCTAAATAAAGGAATTTCGTTATCTCATAGTGCGTGCAAGGAGCGTCCCTGTGTCCAGGAGGAAAGTCGCCCGATCCGAGGGCAGCGCGGTGACGTGACCTTCTCGGGGTCGTGCTTCGAGCGCGAACAGCCCACGCATGCACGTCTTGAAACGCCGACCACGCAGCGTCACTTCTTCTGGTAATCGTGAAACGCGGAGCGCGTTCTTCCTTCCCCCCGTAAATACTCCGCGAGGCAAAACAGAAACCATAAGACGAAAAGAGGCTGGGCTTCTCGAGTGAACGCTGTGCGGTCTTTTTGGTTTTGGTAATTACGCGAGGGAGGGAGTTGTCTTTTGCGGCGGGGTTCAGAGTTTCAGGGCTGGCAGTGAAGCGGCTCGCATGGCGCGGTGACTGGGCAGTTTGATTTTCTTTAACTCCTGCAATGGTGAACCGATCTCTAACAGAAATACTTCGGTTAAATAATCCGTATACATGGTGCCTTACAACTTCCAGTATAACCAACATTTGCGATGAGACCTGGTGAGGGGCCCTTTAAGCTTAACTGTTTTGCTACTGGATAGTCATGTAAGTAAAACGCCTCATAGTAAAATATCCTCCCGAGTAAAATTTACTTGCGAGTGCCAAGCGATGGAAGACTGCCTGGGCAGGAGAAGCGCGTTGTCCGTGAAACTATACGTGAAAGACCCGAAAACAAGGGCGTGAGCAATGGACGCACGTTCTCGAGTGTTAGATTAGTTTGTTGCACGCACATGCGTGCGTGTCTGTGTGTGTGTCTGTGTGTGTGTGCGTTTGTGCGCGCCCGTGGGAATGGCTTGCTCATAGATGACACCTCGTTTCATGAAAAAGAGCAGTTTTTGCAGTTGCCTGTTCTTAAAATGCGGCCGTTCTTGAGAAACGCAGCCTGATTGCCTTTCTGCACTCACTGCACAGAATAATGTTTCAAATTAGTACTTTTTGGAAGTAGATTGGGTGGCCAGGTCTCCCCCCCCCCCCTTTTTTTTTTGTTGTTGAATTACCACGTAGGTGTTTCGTTGAATGCTTTCTATTGCAGCTACCAGCAATATCACAACAAATTTAAGTGTTGGTTCATCGTCAAGTAATGTAAGGGAGGAGAACGACTTAGACAGCGTTATTGTTTATGCGTTGGATACCGCACATGTGCCGCATCCGCAACCACGCACGCAAAGTGCATTTAAATCACTGTGAAAATTTCCTGTTCTTGTGGCTACTCAGCAGTTTGCCTTTGTTCGCTGTTGGTAGCACTGCGGATAGCCTTAGACTTGGGTAGAGGTGGGGCTGTCATTTGGCAAGCATTCAACATCAATAAATATCTTCCAACGCTTACACGAAGTTCGTTTGCAAGCCGCAAAACAAAGGTACATAAACGGGCGGCGAAACAGATGTTGAAATAAGCGAACCATGCCGCTGAATGAGGAGCTATTTACAAGAAGGACACTATTTGCGAGAATGTTGAGGCTCTAGCTGAAGCTGCGATTCTTCAGCGAGTTTGCTCGCAGCTGTTGTAAACGTGTTTCCGTCAGGTTGTCCCAAAAAGGAGTGATACAAGGAAACACTTTACTTTTATTATCGCAGCTATCCGGTTTGCAATGCGCGACAAACGGCACATACTGAGCCAACAGCTTTAACCCTTTTCTGTTCAGCACACGGCAGACTAGACCTGTTTTTAGATTCAAGCTGTGCCATATAGTACACGTTCGTACATAAGCGTCCTATGTATGTCCAGCTGTTGAATTTTGTGCGTAGTTGCCGCATTAGTGTTTATTTTATTTTATTTTGTTGTGGCAAAGAGTGGCCTATTTTGTGTATTGTTTACTACTAATATAGGTGACCGCCTGAAATTGTGTGCTGAAGGGCTCATTCACACTAGCTACTCGCAGAGATCGCGTGATCAAGACGGTTGCAAATGATCGCTTTAATCAGAAAATCGGTCCGAGTTACTCGCTATACCTGCTGAATTTTGCGCTCGTGTAACTGCAGATACATGCCCCGCCGCAGTGCTCTAGTAGCTAAGGTACTCGGCTGCTGACCCGCAGTTCGCGGGATCGAATCCCGGCTGCGGCGGCTGCATTTCCGTCGGAGGCGGAAATGTAGGCCCGTGTGCTCAGATTTGGGTGCACGTTAAAAAACCCCAGGAGGTCGAAATTTTCGGAGCCCTCCGCTACGGAGTCTCTCATATTTATATCGTGGTTTTGGGACGTTAAACCCTACATATCAATCAATCAATGAACTGCAGATACATACCTAGAGGTCACGATGACGTAAAGTTGTCCAAATGTTTTCGATTACCTTTTATTTTTCATTCGCTCTCTGCCAGTGCCAAAAAAAATGTCTGGCGATGTCCATTTCGTCTTTTCTCTCTTTCGACCTCGCGAGAACTTTCACGGGTATAATGACTCCTCAACTTTATTTTCTTGTTCTCTTGTTAGCTCGGGCCAACTAGCGACCGTCAGCTCATCAACCCTTGCCAGCCAGTGATATGAGAAAAACTTGCGAGTGCACGCTATGCCATTCACTTTCAAACCAGACAAAATGACCCTCTTGTAAATGAGGGGACAGTTATTTGGGCTGTTTAGAAAACTGTGCGTGTTCCAGCGCACACTTGCGTCGTTAATCACATAAATATGACCTCAGGAGATTGGGTGACGACCATAGTTGAATGACAGTCAGTTGCACATGATCAGGACGTGCGTCCGTATACCCTCTTGTCTATTTTGCGTGGCGATAGCTATGCAAGCTGACGTGAAAGGCGTCAATCGCGAGATGATTCCGTGTGGCGATGGGCAAATCAGGCTTGCCGGTCTGAACATCTGTCAGCTCGGTGAGTCGTTTATTGGTTCATATACACGCAGTAGGCGATAGTGTTTCATCCGTTGGTCACCGATGTGATCGAGTGCGTCCCAACAGAGTATAGCTTGAGAGTTGTTTTACGGCAGGATGAATGAGATGTATATATATATATATATATATATATATATATATATATATATATATATATATATATATATATATATATATATATATATATATATATATATATATATATATGTGTGTGTGAAAGTGTCTCGCTAGGTGGGCGATGACACTCTGTTGTAACATTTTTCGCAAAACATATAGTGCGACGTTATATCTAAATGTTTACGCCTTCGTTACTTACCCCGCGAACTTCTATCGAGACCGAGTCGGGCAAAAGGGGCCGCGCTCTCGCTATCACATTGGTTAATTTTTGTTTATTTTTAGTTTTATATTTGTTGTTTTTATTGTTTATTGAGACGATCCACATTGGATGCATACTCATAATTCCTCGGAGTGACGTGGTTACGCATTGAACCTTTCCCGTCTTTTTTTTTTAATCCTTCGGGGGACTAGCGCAAAGCTGTCTTATATGTGGTAGATTTTGTACGAACGTTGATGCTTTCACTTTCCCACTGTTTAACATTTCAATCACGCTGATGTTTTCTTTTTAATACGCTTTGCTCTGTTCGCCTATTAGCTTGTTTTCACAGGGACTATGTGCCATGTTAGTCTGACTTCCAGAAAAAAACAACGAATTGGGATCTGAGTGTTCTATCAGGAATTTTTATTTAAGACTTTTATGAATTCGTATCCGCTATCTCTATCGCGCATAGACACTAAATAAATTGTGACATCGCATGCACCAAGCCGGGATAAATACTTAATCAAAGAAATAGGGAGAGAAAAAGGCCTATTATGACGTCACCGGGAGCATATTTGTAACGTTGGTGTACGGCAGGGTTGAGAGGATATAGTGAGACATGCCTTCCTCGTGGTTTCATTTAGTGATCTCAGAATTTGTCCAGCGCCACACCTTGATCGTTCTGTTATGGACGTCAATCATTTCGTTTTGTTGTTGAGCTGAAAATAAAGAGCGGTCGTAACAGTATGGGATACCACAAAATAAACGCCTCCTTTATTTCTATCAATGACAGGAGCCGCCGGTCCACCTTAGTTCAGACAGTGGTCAGACGCGACGCCACGTAAAAGGTAGGGCTGATAGCGTCACACGCGCGTCCGAACGCTTTTCCAATGGAGATGCGATAGACGTGTATCCCACTCCGATAGCATACGCCTGTCACATTTCATGCTCATCCATTCGTGCTCCTTCTTTGTGGCTAGAAGCAATGTCGCTGCCGCCTCACAGCAGCGTCGCAGTGGCCATTGGTTCACAGAGGGCCATGGATGGAGACGCGCTATCCCAAAACACCGTGCAGCTAGCGTGACGCCAACAGTGGACACGAGGGGAGTCACTGTATATGCTACCTTCAGGTATAGCATAGTGGTGCATTTGTTTTTCAGCGCCGCTAGCAACCATACACTGCGGAGAGGCTGGTGCACAGTAACTTGATAAGACAGATGCTTGGGCTAGTTGGTGATTGGGAATCAACATATTTGCACAGCGCAAGACTACGAGTAGTTACGACTTAACTACAGAAGAAGAGACAAGGACAGAAAGAGCGCTGTCTGTCCTTGTCTCTTCTTCTGTAGTTACGTCGTAACTGCTCGTAGTCTTGCGCTGTGCAACTATGCTGGTGCACAGGCCGCACCGCCGAAAGCGGTTGCCGTCTACCTGGAATCTATCAAGTGATCATCGTGCGCTCTGTAGCTCGTTAGCTACGAACTGGTGCTTTTATTCGCTTTACATTTATGTCCTTATAAGCTTAGACAGCTAAGTATTTGCGTGGAGTTGGCACCATTTTAGAAAAAAACATGCTGAAATAATCAATGCTATAGGCTTAGTGGAGCGCTCTTTAAATCTCGGGGGACCTATGTTTTGTGTTTGTGAGTTCTTGCTTATCTTTCATAGATGGCGCCACCTGACCATGCGGCAGCGGTGGTGCATGTTATTCGGCACTATGCTACGCCTTTGCGCTTTGTGCAACCGAAGAGATTAAAAAAAGTGATTTTGAACTTGCGTGTCACAGTCCCAAAAGCAGCTGTTTTTTTTTCTTTGCTAGCTAGTCGTTGACACGCCAGGCACGTCGACTGGCGATCGGCGACACGCTTCGTCGATCGGCGACTGGCTTAAGCAAGTCGCCTGCAAATATGGGGCGCGGCTTCACCGCATAACTATATTTGCTATTCAGGCAAGATAGCGGACCTATGCGCTTTTCTGCTCCCGTAGGGAGCATATACAGTGACTATAAACACGAGATATGCAAAACACCGCCCATCGGATCAGTACACAACTGAACAAGAAATTACTACATATGGTTTCCATCGTTAGGCAGCACATGATGGGTTTTCTCTCCCTCGACTGCAAAGCACACGCGAAGGCTAGGCGATGGGCAAGAGCAGGAAGGGGCTAAAGGAGAGGGTGGTGAATGGCTGTATCGGGCGAATGTGGCTGCGTTGACAAAATATTCGCCATTGTTAAGCAAAGCTATTCAAATACTAATTCTATCCAAACCACCCAAAATGTGTACTTAGCGTACGTTCAGTTAGTATGCTGGTCACCTCCTGCCCATTTCTATGTAGGGTGCCCTTTATAATTATTGTGTTCATGATTTGAATGAATGTTGACCACAGTGAATGTTGTTGCCTCGTGGAATGTAACTCTGCAATGTATGTAATCATTCATAAGTGCACTCTGCATGAGTGGATGTTGCCTTTTATGCTTCAGTGTGCAATAAAAGTTATTTTTTCTAAAGATCAATCTCGGTATTCCGACATACGCCTTATGCTGGGGGTCCTATCTCTGCGACATTACCCTCACAGATGGGTTGCAGTAACAAAGCTACATAAAGGCAGACGAAAGCATGTGCAATTGACAGTCCCTCGTGATATATAAATGTCGTAAAATCCCGCGCTAGCACCATCACCCCCCCCCCCCCCCTTCGTACGCTGAAGAATATCCGACAAAATTCGGGGAGGGGGCGCGGGCGTTGCTCGCTCAGTCATGGATCGAAATCAATCATGGCAGTGGATGAACCACTAAACATGAACGCACACCCGTGCTTCTAATGCAACAATTTGTTGAATAAGCATGCATGCACTGTTTTCATTCGCACTCGTTGGGCCAATAAAAACAGTGAATGAAACTGAACATGTAGAAAGGGGAGAAGGGGGCGCACATTTGAATTCTCCCGAAGAAGAAAGGGGGGGGGGGGGGGCTTTGTCACGTAAAGCGCTTGCTCTCGATTTTATGGTAATACATTAGCAACTCGATGAAAGTGCTGCCACAAATCTCATTGATATTTTACTTCCTCTGTAGTTCTGAAAGACGCTCATCTGTGCACACATAGGGCGAAAGTATGCATGTCATTTGCACGTTCTTGCTTGAATTGCAGCTATAGACCGAACGTCTAGTCAAGAACTCTGAGAACAAAGCCTGGAAGGGAAGCTGCGGACCCCCGGGACACCGATGGGACGTCGGTGGAGCCACAAGCACCATTACTACCAAAGAAGATTGCCTTCGTTGCATTTTCCTATGAGACGTTGCCGCTTGGACTGACATGCGCCTATAGGCTCCAATTACCTATTCGATTCGGCCCACTCGAACTCGAGAGGAAAGACTCAAACTTCCAGCTGTTATATGTTCGAGTCAGTGGGTTCTGAACGACTAGGTCGTGAGCAGAGGAGAGTGGGAAGGCCCTCATCGCTGTCGTTGCAATAAGGGGCACAAAAAAAATGAGGAGGACGTTTTCGTTGTCGTGAACATAGCGCGAACATGATAATTATATCAGTCAAGGAACAACGCTGCTTGAATGCAAACCGAAAGGCGTCTGACAATTAACGTGCCTTGAACACGTATAGATAGTGAGTTATTGGCCCCGATGTAGAGTCGGAATTTGTATACGCAGTAAAATGTTGAACAGGGAAG